TCACAATGGCGGAGGGTGGGGTGGAGGTCCCGCAGATCCTGCGCCCGACCCTGATCCGGCCCCGGCCCCGCCGAACATGGCGAGGTCTTTCTCGTGCGCTCTTTGCGCCGCCTGCGGAGAAAAAAATATGGCAAACGACGAGGGAGGGGGTTGGGGCGAGGACGTAGGTTGGGTAGCATTAGCATGGCCGTGGGTTTGCTATTGCCGCGCACGACCGCGTACCTCCAAGCCGGGGCGAAGAACTCGGGGGTCTCTTTCGCGGAGAAGGGAGGCATATTCTATGCAAGCACAGGCGCCGCCCGCAGAGTGATCGAAGACATAAAGAAGATAGGGTTTCCGGATTCCGACGACGATGATGGTTGGCACGCGAAAAAACAACCCATCGCGGGAGCTGATGCTGCAGAGGCGCGCGGTCGGAGATCAAGCAGCTGCTGACGCACCGGCGTCGACAATTATGTACTCAAGCAAGGCCTACTTTCCCCGCCCCACCACCGCCCGGTATAGGGGAACGCATGTGGTCACTTTTGGCGAAAGAAAAAAAAACAAGCAACAAGCCGCTGGTAGAAACAAGAAACTTTTAACTAACTTTTGTCCGCTGCTGAACCCTCCCCCCACCAACCGTAAGGCAACCATTTCATTTCCCCCGTCTCATCTTCACCTTTTCGATCTTCTCCATCTGCCGTTTCAGGTCCGACTCGCTCTGCGCCCCCTTGAGCTTGTCCTCGCGCTTCTTACGGAAGAACTCGGCGACGATCTCGATGTGCTTCTTGCCTTGGTCATGATTGCGAATGCTCTGAAAACGCCGGCCGCCGACAAGGACCAAATAAAAAAAAAAGGTGTACGCGCAGTGGTGTTCACAAATAAATGTCGTTGCTCGTGGCTGTTGTTGTTGTTGCTGCCATGCTCGCGGAACCATTCTCGCGATGAACCGAAAATCTTCTCGAGCGATTCCCTCGCATCCGAGGGTTCCCGAAACGATATGCATAGGCGTCGTGAAAAACAATACTTGGTGTCGTGGGATGGGGCAAGGGTGGCAGCACCGCCCGTGGTATACGGCGGAAGCATATCGGTGGGAACCCGCCCGGGCAGCCGCTCGCCGCGTTGCCCCCCCCCCCCATGCCCCGTCACACATCCGCACCGCCGAACACTACAAAATATCTCATCCGCACAACACTCCAACGATATACCGCTACTGAAGTTTAACACGAGTTGTCTCGGAATCCTGGTCATCATGTGTGCCCACTTCATTCTTCGACGCGTCAAACAGCACCACAAAATCCGCTAAAAATGTGGTGGTGGTTATATCAATGGAATGCGCAGGTAGCGCGATGTTTTCAGCATATTCTGGTGCTGCCCCAAACAAGTAGCAGGCAAGACGGGGGGCGGCCCAATCTGAGGGGTATGCCGTCTTGCTGTGCCGGTTTGGGCGCTCGGGCCGAATGGTACAACATTAGTCTGTGCAGCAACTTACGGCCCAGCGATTCTTCAGGGAAAGACCTTGTCTGTTCCGAATGTGACGCAAGACTTACTGGTACCTAACAGACTTCACGACATGTTGATACATTGGAGTACGCGGCTATGCTACAGAAGGGAGTCCCTGCTGCCGATCGACATTAAAACACTCCATTCCGGGAAGGCTGCCGCCCGTTGCCGCATGCATATATCAAGCCGTCGGTAATTCCACCCCCCTCCCCCTCCTTCGCGTGTAGACGTGTAGACTGGCCGCGGATTCACATGTAAATCAGACCAACCCTCTGCTCTGCAAGAAAGATTATTTAGACTCGGTGGGCTTGTAGCTCCCCCGGCACACTAGAGATTCCGCACAAAGGCTAATATTGTATTGCGATTCAGAAACGATGAGGAAGAACTCAGCGGCCGGCACTGCACTAAACGATCTTGACAATTGCCTGTTCTCCATGGTTGATACACCGCTGCTGCAAAAGACCGTGAGCCTTACCCATCATCAGTATGCACACTAGTAGTTGATGTTTCTTGCGCAAACGTCGGCCGAGAAATGAAGGAGCAGCCAGCTCTGTAGACTGCTGTCCAAGCAGTACGACGATGATTTGAAAAATGATGCCATAGCGGGAACTTTAATAATCATCTACTGTACCTACTCCGTAACTGGCATCTCTCCTTTAGATGAAGACATCATCAAGACTACAGCAGAACAACGGTCCACAGCACCTCGTGACCTGCAGCAGTACCGGACACGCATCCTATATAACTTGTGTACTCCGATGTGTAGACGAGGATAAATCTCACCGCTTGATGGTTGGAAAGCCACACTTTGCAGTACTTGCAAAAGTACCTCTCCTGCGATACCCAGTACGACGCCATCTCTCCCTCTCCCTCTCAGTCGCTGCTTCTCTCTCTCCGGCTCCCCCTGAAGCAACGGGGTTAGCAACCGTATCAGGTATGAGAATGTCGTGGTGAGTGCGGGAGTGCACTCGGCGCGGGGCCCCGCGCTATCAACCACCTACCTTATAAGTGCCCCAATGTAAGAGTTGACGGGCCCCTTCGTGGATGCCTCTCGTGTGTGCTCAGCGCAGCCACGGGCAGTAGTGTTGACCTATAATGCTGCGCCCGCTGTTGTTATCGCTGCTGCATGCGCTACTGACACCATGCGAGGGTGCAGAGTACTCGGACCCGTCGCTATTGGACTCGACAGTGGCCCATGGAATGGTGAGCGCAACGAAACATCAACCGGGTTTGGTTCGAAGAGTCTCATGTGCTGCTCGTAGTAACTGCCCAGAGGGGCGTTCGAGGCATTGGCGGCGGCGGGTGTGTAGTCTAACGGTATACATTTACAAGCACTGCGGTAGATCTTTTAATCTTGTTTTCGCGTTCATGTTGCATCCTACAGTACTGCTACTCTGCTGGTGTGTACGTTCTTTAAGCACACGATGGATACAGCACACGGTGCCGTTTAGAAAGTTTTTCCCACCTGCCCAGGATCTTGCCGTTTGGTTCGCATGATCGCAAAAATCCGTTGGACGCAATTGGACCACACGCTGTGTATCTCTAAACATGGTACTGCTGTACTGCTGTGGGCGATTTCGAATCGTGGTGTGCATACCCGCCCGCATAACTGCGGCGGCTTTCTGCTGCCTGTGCAAGCGCGTGCCTAGTGTGCGAACAGGTTGGTGATGCAGGGCGCAGCAAATACTGCAACGTACACTGACTTGCTACTTGCCGCATTCGTTCACGTCAATGTCGAATGCGCATGATACTAAATACACAGCAGTGCTCCTGCTGTACTGCGCGTTTGTTCGTTCAAAGCAGAGTATTCGTGTAGATAATTCAGGCCATACTTCTAGCCTAGCGTGCGTTGACAGCACCTTCGAGATAGCAACACACCCACCGCAACCATGTATGTATGTATGTATGTATGTATGTGAAGAGAAAATCATCTTGAGCGGTAGGAATGAGGTATGAAGAATCGACAGCAATCCGGAGTATACGCCCCCAGGGATTACGTCCAGTTCGCAAACGTGCGGAACTGACCTGGCAAGGGTCGTGCCCTGATCCTTTCAAACGCATTCGGCTATACATATATTTTTTTCATGCTACAGCACCTCGCAATTAGTAGATCTGGCCCGCCGGCAACTGGAAGAAAACTGCACCCGGAGGAGGCTACAATTTTAAAATGTTTGCGTGTCTTCCGATTTCCGCCGGTTCTCGCATGCATTACGACCTTCGTTCGTCAAACACTCAAGAGAGGCGGCACCCATATTTCCACTAGGCCACGTCCCGAAGGAACTAAGGAACTACAAACCAGTTTCGAGTCCAATCCTGAGACGTTTTGGGCAGGCACTTGACCTATTTAGCACCGGCATAACGCGAACCGCATTTGTTTCTGTTTCCCACTCCTCACGACACTTTGTCGACAGTTAGAGTTGGCTGCTGAGCGTTTTTTTTCTGCCCTGCGTGTTCCGGTATCCCGACACAGATCATCGACGCCGGCAGTAGCGGAAGCCGCATGCACGTGTACCAGTGGGAGCCGCGCATGTTCACGACGCTGCCCCCGCCGATCTCTATCCCCGGCTCAACCAACCAGTGGACGCACAGGATGGAGCCAGGGATTTCCTCCTACATCACTCACCTTGAGGCATGGGGATGATTCTCTTTGATTGGTTTAAGTTGTTTCTTTGTTTGAGCAGCGAACTCGAGTCAACA